AAAATGAAACGATCATGCCGCTAAAAACATAAAAAAGTTACTAGATTTTAGAAACACTAAATACGATCCAGGGGAACTGACGTTCTAAAACTGGCTCAAGCCAACACCTCAACCTAATCGTGGCGTTACCTAGCACCAAAGCTGTGGAACCTGCTACCAGATTCACACAGAACCATTACAACTTTTAAGGCCTTCAAAAACAGTATCAAGAAAATTGACCTTTTGGGCCTTTTAACCTAACTTACGACTCACTGTTATCTTGTTGATTGTACACATGATTACTTTTTAGCATAACGTGAAAATATTTTAGATTGTATTTAATCCACGATCCTGACTTTTATTTTTTCACATTTTTTACTCATATATTATAATGTTTTACTTTAATTTTAATAGGCCTTATTCACGATAACCGCCATGTTTATTTTTACATCATAATGCAAATCAGGCACTTGACTTCTGAGGGGGCAAACAAGATAAAATCGGCAAATTTCAGCTGGTTTCTTATCATTTCTGATAATTTTTTTTTCATATCCATACTTTGGTTTCAGTATTGGGGTGGAAATATTCCAAGTTTTACAGAATTTCGGCGCTTTTATTAAAAGAAAACGGCTCGCGTAGTTAATAAATCAAGTTATCAAGAAACTTTTTCAAACTTAAATTAATGATAAAATCATTATTCCATAACTTCGCACCCAAATGTGATTTTGGTGCAGATACTTGACCATTTAGGCGAGCCGATTTTCAGAAATCGGGAACCATTTCAATGTTTGCCCCCTGGCGGACAATGTGGCTAATTTGCATTATAATACGAAAACCATCATGGCGGCTATCGTGAATATGGGCTATTTATGTGGAATACCTACAAATTAAGTGGTGTGTCATTTTATCTTTCATGCGACGTCACACCTGCACATAGAGCTAAGAGTATTACACAATTAATCAAAACTATAACAAAATTCTCGAACGTGATTGGCCATCAGCAGCCCGATTTTAATTGGACATTGTACGCGTCATGCTTGTAATCGGACAGTAGGCGTCATTTTGCGCGCGCTGTTGCGGTGCACTTTGTTGAGTAAACTGCTGTGTTTTTCAGAATTCATAACGACGTTTAATCGTCCAACGATCAATCGATGGTTTGTTCGTTTCTCGAATTTTGTCATAGTTTTTATTAATTGGTAATAGGACATCGTGTCGTCCAATTCAGTCTGTAATCATACTCATGATTAACAAATCGGACTCCCGCTTCGCGG